GTTGATTCCAACTCATAGTGACTTGACAGAGAGTTTCCTAGGAGCACCTGGTGGATTTGCACTACCAACCTTATAGTTCAAACCAAGCCTGTGGTCAATTGCTTTATCCTACAATGCCACCCCAGGACTCTTTCCCTCCATATATATAGATACAGATATAGTTATTGTTATTGTTATTAGGTGCCTTTCAGTCAGTTCTGATTGACAGCCATCCTATACACCCTCTGACTGACAGCAATTCTATATACATTGAAGGAAATATTGCAAGCTTCTGTGCTATCTAATAATTGTAATGTTTGAGCCCATTGATGATACCACTAAATCAATCCATCTCATCAGGGGTCTTTCTCTTTTTTGCTGACCCTGTACTTTACCTAACTTGCAGTCCTTCTCCAGGGAATTGTCCCCCTGGACCACATGTCTAAAGTATCAGAGACAAAGTTACACCATCCTTGTTTCTAAGAGGCATTCTTGCTATACTTCTTTCAAAACAGATTTGTTTGTTTATCTAGCAGTCCACGGTACTTTCAATATCTTCACCAACACCATAATTCAAATGCATCAATTTCTCTATTCTCTTCCTTATTCATCACATAACTTTTGCATGGATAAAGACAATTAAAAATACAATGGTTTGCATCAGGCATACTTTAGTGCTGAATGTGACATCTTTGCTACTGATCTTATACATCATTTTTTCAGAAAGTAATATATCATTTGATTTCTTAACTGTTGTTTCCATGAGAGTTGATTGTGGGTCCAAAAAAAATGAAGTCTTTGACAACTTCAATCTTTTCTCTGTTTATCATTATTTTACTTACTGGTTCAGTTGTGAGGATTTTTGTTTTATTTTATAGTGAGGTGCAATCCATACTGAAGGCTGTGGTCTTGGATCTTCATCACTAAGTATTCCAAGTTCTTTTTGCTTTCAGCATAACGTCCTCTTTGCCTCCAGCAAGAAAGACCTCTTTGCTTTCAGCAAGCTTGTGTCACCTGCAAATTGCAAGTTGTTAGTGAGTTTTTTTCCAACCCTAATGCCATGTCCTACTTAATAGAATCCATCTACTCAGATTATTTGCTCAGCATATAGACTGAATAAATACAGTGAAAGGATATAACCCTGGTGTGCACTTTTTCTAATTTTAAACCATTCAGTATCTCCTTGTTCTGTTCCAACCACTGCCTTTTGATCTTTGTACAGGTTTCTCATGAGCACAATTAAGTGCCCTGGAATACTCATTTTTTGCAATGATATCCATAATTTGTCATGATTCACAGAGTTGAATGCCTTTGAAAAGTCAAGAATGCACAAATGAACTTCTTTCTGGTACTCTCTGCTTTCATCCAAGGTCTACCTGACTTCAGCAATGATTTTCATATTTCCATGTCCATTTCTAAAACTGGCTTGAATTTTTGGCAGCTTCCTGTCAATGAAGTGATGCAACTATTTTTATCTGATATTTAGCAATATTTTAGTTTCACATATTATTATTGATATTATTCGATGATTTCCACTTTCTGTTGAATATTCTTTCCTTAGAATTGAAAAAAGATAGATCTTTCCATTGGTTGACCAGATAACTGTTTCCCGAATTTCTTGTCATGGACTATTAAATGCTTCATCATGTGTTTTATGAGTTTGTTGATACAGTTCAATTGTGTTCCATCAATTTCTGAAGGCTTGTTTTTTGTCAATGCATCAAGTGTAGCTTGGACTTCTTCCTCAGTACCATTAGTTCTTTTTTTTTTTTTTTTTTAATATTTTATTGTGAATTATGTGATAATTTACATGGGAGAACATTAGCTTTACATTCATCCTATCGTATATCGTTTCATTGCCATGGTCATTAGCACACAGCCCCTCTCCCACTCCGTCTCTCCATGTCATCGTCTCTGCCTCCATCTCTGGCATCACTGCTTCTCTGGGTAGGGTCCCGTTCTCTGCTCTTCTCCCTTGATGGTCCCAGGGACCTCTGCTCCTAGACTGAGAAGTTAATCACTCCCCTCCTTGCTGCAAAATGTCTATCTTTACATTTACAACCCTCACAATCAGTCCTGATAACAATTATTCACTATTGTAGCACAAGAGACCTATCCACATTTCCTTTTATCAGCCCTGCCTAGACAGATTGGATACTACTCAATGGAGATTCTACCTTCCTCCACGCCCTCTGGATGTAGGTTCCCTCTTGAAAGCTTGTAAGCAAGTCACTTCTTGCCTTTGTAGCCTCCCCACTTTAGGTAGCAATGCTCAAGTCACCCATCCCTGTCTACTCTGTATATGGAGGGTGTGAGAATGATCCCTGCTGTAAAGATTTGTTCCCTCTTTTGAGCTACTGCATCCATAGGTATTGGTCAAGTTCATCAAATTGTATCAGATTACTCTTTTTTTTCCTCTTCTTTCTTCTTCTAGTTGATCATCCAGTCATTGAAGCCAGGTCAAGTGGGTATTACCTGAAGTGCCAGTTTTCTTGTGCATACACCTTCTCTTCTTATCAGCTGAATGCTTCATTCTCCACCCTAGTCCTCTGTGGCTATGTCACTGACTCTGGGCCCAAGAGTCCCCAGATCTTCCCATACTACTGACCAACCAGGTCTCCACCCGGGTTCATGGGAGTCTATTGAACAAGTACCATCTGTTCTTGATCATTTGTTACTTTTTGAAATGATTGACCATTGACCAATTCTTTTTGGTACAGTGATTATATATTCCTTCAATTTTCTTTTGAGTCCTCCTGTATTATATAATATCTTGCCCATCAATATTATAATCCAAGGCTTGAATTTTTCTTCAATTAGTTCAGCTATAAAATGCTGAACATTTTCTTCTTTTTTGGTTCTCCAATTCCAGGTTTTTGCACATTTTATACCTTGGCTTTGTCTTCTTTAGTTACTCCTTTGGTATTTTCTGTTCAGCTTTTTCTTGATAATTTCTTCCATTTGCTTTAACTTCTATGTTTAAGAACAAGTTTCAAGGTCTCTTCTGACATCAACTTTGGTGTTTCTTTCCTTCTTGTATTTTTAATAACAGTTTGCTTTCTTCATATATGATATTTTTTATGTCATCCCACAACTCATCTGGTCTTCTGTCATTAGAGTGTAATACATCAAATCTGTTCTGAGATAGTCTTTAAACTCAGGTGGGATATGTTCCATGGCATATTTTTGATCTCATGAACTTGTTTTAATTTTTTTGCTCTTCAACTGAGCTTGCACATGAGCAATTGATGGTTTATTCTAAAGTTGATCCCTGGCCTTGTTTTGACTGATAATATTGAGCTTTTCCACTATATCTTCTTCCCACAGATGTAGTCAATTTGTCTTCTGCATATTCCATATAGTGAGATTCATGATTATAGTTGCCATTTATGTTGTGTTTTGTTTTTTGTTTTTTTTAAAGCTATTTGGAGTGAATGAGTAATTTGTTTTGCAAAATTCTAATGAATGATTTCCACCATCATTTCTATCACCAAACCCATATAATTCCTATGACCAAGGTCATTATTTTCCAAGTATTGATCTTTCCATCATGTTTCCAACTTTCAAAATCAACATTAATTATCAACACATCTAAATGCATGTTTGATCAACTTAAGTCTTTAAAAGTTGATATTATTCTCTTGTTTCAACATCATTGACTTTAGTGGTTGGTGTGTCAATTTCTATGATTGTATTAACTGATCTGTCTTGTAGGCATATCAAAATTATCCTACTGTATACTTACAGAGAGATTGTGAAATGCTCTTTTTAATGATGAAAGCAATGCCATTGCTCTTTAATGTAGTGTTACAAGCATTGTAAACCATATGATTGTCAAATTCAAAATGGCCAATACTTATCTATATCAGCTAACTAATGCCTAGAATATTGATCTTTATGCATATCATTTCATTTTTATGACTTTCAATTTTCCTGATTTCATATTTTGCACATTCAATGTTCTGATTATTAATGGAAATTTACAGTTGTTTCTACTCATTTTGAGTTGTGCACCATCATCAAATGCACACACACACATATACATATATATAATAATATAATAGAGATACTGTATTTAGACTGGTGATCTGCTTCCATAAAGATCACCACTTATAAAGCCCTATTGGATCATTTTACTGTCTCACATTGGGTATCTATCAGTCAGAATCATCCCAACAGCAGCTAACAACAACTACAACAATAATAATTTTAGTATTAGTACTATTATCCACACTATACACTTGAGAAATGTAATGTATAGAGGCATTAATAAATTGTTTTTGGTCACACATCAAACAAGTGATGGAGCTGGTAGGGCAGTTCAGGGTACTGGGTATCTTTTTCAAATTGGGAATGAATCCTAGGAAAGCTCCCTGCAAGAGGACATAGTCAATACAAGTTGAATTATTGATAGATATTATCCTAGTTAAGAAAGGCTAGAATAGTATCTAGCCAGAAATGAAAGAACATTTATGACCTGAAAATATCACATGTTATGTGTTTGTAGAACTTCACACAAGTCTGGTTGTCTGTTGTCTGGGAGAAAAGAGTCTGGAGAGCTAGGAATGAGGCTGTGATGGAGGGTGTTCATGGCCTCAAATGGACTTGTTTTTACTATCATCACAGAATCAAAGAAAACTCTGGGTTATCCTATGCATTTTTCAAAGTATTCATAGTCAAATTTGGATTTTATGGTGTAGTGACTCCCCAGCAGAAGCCTGTATTTCTGCTACCTGATATGACTTTACTCCTTGTTGGCTCATCAGGAGAATGAGGTCCTCCAGAAATTCCTGCAGTCACTGGAACCAATTGAAAAATCTATCCTGCAGTCAGACAAAGCCCTCACAGATGGAGAGAAGGCCATAGCAGGTAAAAGGGAAGCACTCAGCCCAAAGTGGTGTGGGAATTTTCTTTCCCTTTACTAGATTGGAAGATCTGAAATAACAAGCTTCCCATCTTCCATAGAATGCACATTCTACTGAGCCTGATAATAACAAGTTGTGTGTCCATCCCATCAAATTCTCAAGTGTCATTGATGGTGTGGATACCAGGAGAATTCAGAGACTTGCACTATACCTTTTGGTCAGTTTAATTCCTGAACTCAGGAGGGTAGAGCTCAACCCTGACCTGTTGTTTTCTTTCTTCCCCACATCCTTTGTGGGACAGCCAAGCAGGCCAAGATAAAGGCAATGGAGAGGGAAAATGAGCTGCTGGTACAAAAACAGAAGGAGCAGCAGCAAAAGATAGAGGATCAAGAGAGGAGCTTCAAGGAAAACATGAACCAATTGAAAGAGAAGATGGAAAAGGACAGAGTAGCACTCCTGAGAGAGCAGGAAAGGGTGCTGGAACATAAACTGAAGGTAAGTCTGTCCTGGGCCTGGGCAGCCCTGACATAATACCCTTGTACTTAAAGAATGGTGGTGATAATGATGGTGTGCCTTCAAGTCGGGTCCAACTCCCAGTGACCAAAGGCTTAAAATATGAAACAAAATCATGATATCAGAAGCAATATATAAGGAATTTGGTTTGGTAAAACCTAAAATCCATCATCCTTCTTCTAAATTCCTTAAAAACTCCAGAACCTCTTTCAATGTTAGTCTTGGGAGAAGATTAAGTAAAGAGCATGAGAAGCTATTTGTTGTGATTGTAGACTATTTTGATTGTGCCATATTTTTAAATGACCTTAGTCCGATAGTCTTCAGATTACTAGTACAACATCAAAAAGACATGAAGTAGATCTATCAGGTCTTTAAAGTATTAGATTTAAACTGATATGAAATGCAGGGTGCTCTGATACTTGCTGCATTTGTTTCCAAATCTGTTTTAGTCATGCTATGCAACCTGGAGTAAAGCTCATTCACTTCCTTGTACTGCATCTTAATTAACAGTTTCCTACACTGGCCAGCAGTTCCCATAATTTGCTAGATGTGTGTGGAACAGTTGGAACAGAATTAATTTCCACCAAGCACACATTTCTTCCCAAAGGGCAAATCCTTAACTAATTGTGTTTTTCAAAACTTACTCTCCCCTTTATAGGTTCAAGAAAAACTGCTTAAAGAAGGATTTGACAAGAACTGTGAGGTGTTAAATAATGAGATACGTCGACTAAAAAATGAAATCCAAACAACTAAGGAGCAAGGCCCCAGATTTTCTATTTCTTTTAATATAACTGGGAATCCTTTAAAGGGGCAAATGCCAGGTTCTGGTAAAGGTATTCAGAAGTAATGAAAGTTCTCAGTTTAGTTATTAGACAGGTTAGAATTCCTATTAAGGAAATTGTATAGTAAACCTTCTATTAAAAGTATAATATAGTTGGTCATTTAAAAATATATATCATCCTAGTTTCTGTCAGAAAATTATATAAATAAAGATTGCCAAAGTGATTACCAAAGTTTATGTTCTTCACACTAAGTCTTGATTTAATTATTTATGAAGTTAGAAGATAATGAAATTTTAATAGAAAAGACATAAGCAAAACAAAACTAGAAATGGAAAGATAAGTAAATTTTTGCCATTTATATCACAGACAAGGAAATAATTTATTTATCCTTTTATGACCTCTTAAATATCAATGATAAAAAGAACAACCCCACTTTAAAAATGGACAATCATAGAGAAAAGAAATTTAACTGTTTAATTTTGCTTATAATAAAGATGTGCAAAGTAAAACTATGAAGTATCTGTTTAATTTCTGTAAATGGGAAGAAGTAACGCGTTTGACAAGATATAAAGTTACCTGGTGTTTGAGGACATATAGAGTCCTTCATATTTGCTAAGAGAGTATGTTGTGTTGTTGTGAAGTGCCGTCGAATCAGTTCCCACTGATAGCGACCCTGTGTAGGGTTTCCTAGGAGCAGTTGGTGAGTTTGAACCACCAACCTTGTGGTTTAAACCAACCTTGCAGTCTAGCACCACACCAGGACTCCAAAAGAGTACAGATCCATGAAAATATTATCAAAATGTTAAATGTAAGTCAATATCTTATTCAGCAAGTCTATGTTTAGAAATTTATTGTATGAATTTATTTTCCCAGTAGAAGATGCCCTCTATTCCAGAATATATGTTGAAGCATTTTTTTAGTGCCAAAAGATTGATACAAATTGAAAATCATTCTATTTTTGTTGTTGTTAAATGTGGTCAGTCAGTTCTGACTCAGAAACCCTGTACAGGGTTTCTTAGGAGTAGCTAGTGAGTTTGAACTGCCTACCTTGGGGTTGGCAGACAAGTGTTAATCCTACAGTGCCATACCATGACTCCCAAAAAGCCTTTTTGGTGGTGTGTTTGGTGTCCTGTTGAATCTGGTCCAACTCACAGAAACCCTGTATAGGGTTTGAAATCTTTACGGGAAGAGAAAGCCTCATTTTTTCCCCCCAAAGAGCTGCTAGTTGATTCAAACTACTGACCTTTCAGTTAACAGCCCAATGTATAGCCCACTAAACTACTACAGGGTACTAATAATGCAACTCATGGGACAGACTTACAAAGGAAGACTCTATAGATACTTAAGTGAAAAAGGGAAGCTCAATTTATGCTTAAATGAGAATATATCCAACACTTGTTGTAACATGAAAAATGTAAAGATGCAAAAAAGTGCATATTATTGCCTCCATTGTATTCAGAAAATTATGAAATTGTGCATATATTATATTATCTATCTCAGGAAAAATACACAGTAAGTTAGTAGCTGTGGTTACAATTGGAATTGGACATGGAGAGTTCGGCTGAGGAGGGGCAACATGAGAGCATCACATATTTTGTTCATTTTACTTTTTATGCCATATTGATTTATTGCTTTTTCCAAAACTAAATACTTGCTAAGATCATCATATTTGAACGTGGGATAAGAATGTTTCTGTGCCTGAATAAAAGTGTTTAATGCCAGTAGAAATAGCAGAAGAAATGGCATAAGACAATTCAACTAGAAGACTATGTTCATCACAACAAAGGTCTGGAAAGCACAGCATCCTAACTGTGTCTTCAATGTGACCTTTCAATAAGGCCTTGACACTCTATTGTTTTTGTTAAGTGCCATTGAGTCAGTTTTAATTCATAGAGACCCTGTATAGGATTTCCAAGGAAATGTTGGTGGATCTACAGCACCTAGATCAAAGACCACAGACTTCAGTATGGAATGGACCTCAATGTAAAGACGAAAAAAAAGCCATCAACACTGAAACAATAAATAACAACATTATAAATTGAGATCAGATTGAAGTTTTAGAAGACTTCATTTTACTTGGATCTGCTATAAACAATCATGGAATCAGCAGTGAAAAAAATCAAACAATGTATTGCATTAGGCAAAACTGTGCACAAGACCTCTTAGAAGTGCTCAAGAACAAAGATATCAGTTTAGAACTAAGGTGTACCTGAACCATGCCATGGTATTTTTCATAGCTTCATATGCATGTAAAATTAGACAGTGAATAGGGAAGACTGTTGAAGAATCGATGCATTTGAGAAGAAGAACAACAAAAAATCTGTTTTGGAATAAATACAACCAGAAGGCCCTTTAGAATCCAGAAGGGTGAGACTGCATCTCTCATACTTTGGATATGCTATCAGGAGGGACCAGTCCCTGGAGAAGTACATCATGCTTGGTAAAGTGGAGGGTCAGCAAAAAAGAGGAAGATCTCCAATGAAATGGAGTGGTACAATGACTGCAACAATGGGTTGAAGCTTAACAATGGTCGTAGGGATGGCACAGGACAGAGCAGTGTGTTTGGTTCTATTGTGCATAAGGTTCCTGAGTCAGAACTGATACAACTACAATGGCACCTAAAAACAACAGCAATAACCTAGTTGTTATCTTACCACACCATACCAGTACTTGTTTGTACTCTTGTTAAGTGCCATAGTGATGCTGTATATAGTTGCCAAGGAGTGGCTGGTGAGTTTGAACTGCCAATTTTATGGTACAAACAGACATGGCAGTCCAGGGCTTTAACTCACAGTGCCACACCAGGATTCCTCTACATTGTAGTTCCTAATTAATTTTAAGACACAAAATGTGAGATTTTTCTAGAATTAGCTCAAAATTCAATACTCCAAATTTACAACAGTGATGAATTAAAAGTAAAATTTGTCTTAGGACATATTTAACATTTTAGGAATTTCTGTACAACATTTTAGGATCTGCTGTGGCTAAAATAAACTCCTTGGAACTCCACAAGCTGCACATGTATTTTCTCTTGAAACTAGTATGTTAAGTTCCATTGAGTTGGTTCCAACTCATCAAAAGCCTGTATAGGGTTTCCAAAGCAGCTGGTGAGTTTGAACTGCCAATCTTTATGTTAGCAGTCCAGTGCTTATTCTACAGTTCCACACAGGGACTCCACACAGTATACAGAGAGTAAAATCTCTTACTATGATTGTAGAGTTGTCTATTTCTTTCTTCAACTCTATTAGAGTTTGATTTATATATTTTGAAGCTCTTTCATTGGAAGCATAGATATTTATTATGGTTCCTTTCTCTTGTATAATTAAACCTTTAATCATGAAATGATATCCTTTTCTGTCTCATGTTAATTTTTGTCTTATAGTCTATCTTATCAGAAATTAATATTGACAATTTTTGTATAATTACAAAACTGATATTGCCTATTTATATCTGCCTTGACTTTTACATTTGATCCCTTGGTGTTCTTCTTCTTATTGCTGTTGTTGTTAAGTTCAATTGAGTCGGTTCCAACCCATAGCAACCCTGAACAGGGTTTTCGAGGCTGTAAAACTTTACGGGAGCAGAAAGCCTCATCTTTCTCCCACAGAGCAGCTCGTAGTTTCGAACTGCTGACCTTGCGGTTCACAACCCGATTCATAACCACTACGCTACTCTAACATAAAACCTGTTACATAAACATCAGATTTCAAAAAGATGCAGCAGGCTGACTCTCAAAGATTTGCAGACAGAGAAACCCTATGGAGCCTTCTTATTCTGTTCTATAAATTCATATGAATCAGAATCGACTCAATGCCAATTGATTCTGGGTTTGGGAATTATGTCTAACAGCCCAGGTTTATGTCCCAACCAAAGGGATAACTGCAATTCCTCAATCCAGCAGGATTTCCTGTGAAAACTGTGCTAGTTAATATAAATAATTTGAGTATGCACAAGTATAAAACTATAGTAGACAATGTTGTTTATTAAATACTTGTGTGATAAATAAGAAATAAATAGTTGATGCTTAGTGTAATATAATCGTTAAGTAAGAGCTATTTTTCCAGAAAGGATAGCTTTGTGTGTTTTTCAATAACTGTAAAATAATTACTGTTGTTGTTATTAAGCGCCATCAAGTCAGTTGCAACTCACAGAGATCCCGTATTGGCTTTCTGAGGCTGCTACTTTAATATAGGACTCATGCTAAGAAATTAGCTATTTTCTCAATTAACAAATCAAAATTTCCTTATATCAGGCAACAGAAAATTAGTTTCATAAACAGTTGAATCACTTTATGAACTTTGTGTAACAGAAGGGTAAATAAAGTTGAATTCCCTTTGTATATAATCTAGAAGTCCCTAGGTGATACAAACAATAAAGATGCTCTGCTACTAGCCAAAAAGTTGGAAGTGCCAGTACACCTAGAGGTACTTTTGAAGAGACCTGACAATGCATTTCTAAAAACAATCAATTTAAAATTATGTGCAGCTATTTACAATAGCAAAAAGATGGAGGTGCCTAAGTGGCCATCAATGGAAGAATGAATGAATTTCGTACATACACACAATGGAATATTATGCTACCTCAAAGAATAACAAGGAAGCTGTATGCCACCACATAATATGGATGAATCTTGAGGACATTAAGCTGAGTGAAATTAGTCAAAAAAGGAGAAATACTGCATTTGACAATTATTGTAAAAGTTTTTTTAAAAAATACCCACACTAAAAGGAAAAAAAAATTTTTTTAAGTATTTGTTGGTTACTGAAGGGTGTAAGGGGTGGGGAAAGGGGAGGTGGGGGAGTTAGAACACAGGGTAAGGAATAGACACACAATAGTTTGGGGTTTGGAGGAGGCAATGCACAGTAGGGGAAGGGGAATGGAAGAACAAGGCAGATAGGAGAACATTTAGACAGGTTTACATGGGCAAAATGGGACAGAGGTAAATAGTGATGTATGAACAACCTTGGAACAGCAGGGCTCTGTGATACAGGTATTGAAGCATAGTGTCAATGGGTAAAAGAGAGGAAATAATGTTAAGCTTCTTGATTGTCTTATGAATTTCCTT